TAAATAAAATTTGGTTGTTGTAATGTAAAGTAGGTGTTCCTATGCCATATTTTAATAATCTTTAGATATCAGAAATTATTAAATACTTTTTTAAGGTATAGTTCTATCATTTAAAAACTCTTGAGACTCATTTTTACACGTAGATTAAATATTTTTGTTCCTATGGTTTATTGTAAAAATGTAATTATACAAACTAAAAAAATAAGTAAAAACAACTTCTTTATTGTTTATGCCCTCTTTCTTTTGGCTTTTTTTTAATAATATTCTTATATTTAATTTATACTTAATTTTGTGAATATTTATTTTTGTTATTATATAATTAAATAAAAATAATTTTAAAAAATAAAGTTTATAAACTCATTGAAGTCTAAGATTTAAATTGCGAGTTTCTTAGATTAAATTGTGAAACTCAGACCGATCTAATATATTGTCATATTAATATTAAAAAAATAAGTCTTCTTGATATTTTTTCTAATGAACATTGAAGCAAGTCCCCCTCCTTTCCCCCTATTTTGTCTTTTTTTATTTATTTAAAGTTTGGTTATTTTATTTATATATAATATATTGGTATTTAGTTGATGTTTAATTTTATAAAAGTCTAATTTAATTATCATTTAACTAAGTAAAAAAAAAACATTTTAAACACAATTATTAGACCTTTTAGAGTTTATGATCCAAATTATAAGTTTGACAGGTTAAGTCATGAAACTCAAATTAATCTAATATGTCATCATATTAATATTAAAAAAAAAAGATGTCATCCTAATTTTTTTTTTAAATCAAATTATATTTTTATGAGTTATTTAAATTGGGTTTAGACCCATCAAGTTCTCTAAATCATGTTGAGATAACTTGTAATAGTAAAACTAAAACTTTGGCTAGATAAGGAATTTTTTTTTCATTTTTTTATGATCAAACTTTGATTAGATAAGAGGTAAGTAGAAAGATTTCAAGATTAATTAATAACAATGCTAAAGAGTTCCATGTAGTCTTAATATTTTTTTGTATGTTCATTTTTTTTAATCCTATTTGGAGTGTAGCCCATGCTTCATTGTCCCTTATTCCCCCTCGTTTCATGTTGGTCTTTTTTCTTGGTTTAGTTTTAGATTTCATTTTGGTTATTTTTTTTATAATTTTTTTGGCATTTGATTGATGATCGATTTTAAAAGTATTTATTTTTATTATTATATAATTAAGTACAAAATACAGTTTTTAAATTTAAAGAAATCAATGTTCCAAGTTGCAGGTTTAACATATTAAACAATGAAGCCTCGATAAATTTAATATGCTATCATTTTAATATTAAAAAAATATTATATTGATTTTTTTAAAAATAAATCATGTTTTTTATCGATCATTTAGGTTATCTCTTGACCTATCAAGCTGACTATGTTACATTAAAATAATTTTTATATAATTTAATAAAAATATAAACTAGACAAGAAGGTCAGAAAAAAAATTTTAAATTAACTTATTGGGATGAATTTAGAAACAACATTAATGAATTTTATTTTATAAGAATATTTTTTACACTTAAATTTGTTTTATTAAACTAAACTAGTAAAATCTAAATATGCATTTTTTTTTTAAATGCCAACATTTTTTTTTCTTAGGGCCACAATAATAAACTAGTAAAATCTAAATATGCATTTAATGTTTTTTTTTTTAAATTTAAATTGGGAACAATGTTTTTTCTTAGTAGAATTGGGCCACAATTTGGGTAAGTCGGGGCGAAAAGCCTCCAGGTTTGTCCAACTTAATTGCAGTCTCAAATGTAGACGACGTCGTCGAAGAACATTACCATTTTTTTCCCTATCTACTCTCTATCTAAAGTCCAAAAAAACCGAAACAGAGAGTTTGAGAAAGAGGTAGGGCGTGTGTTGTCTTAAAGAAAATGGCAGCAATTTGTTTCACAAAGCTTCCAAATCCATCATCGACAACAGCCCAACAAGCGCTCAATCGTCAACGGCACCAACACATAACACAACCCAATTCTCTAATAGTACCTCCTCACTCTCTTAATTCCTTCACTTCATTACCATTTTCACGGAAAATCTTAACCACCCGCTTGTCCACCCACCTCCCCATCTCCGCCACTGTCCTCTCCAGCCTCCCTACTGCGTATTTTTTCCATTTAATTCCTCTCTCTCCTTTTTCGTTTTCTTTTCTTTAATATTTAGTCGACTAAATTGCAATTTCAGGTTTTTTCAGGAAGCCAGAGAGATTTGGTTCTTCGGGTGAGAAAGTTCCCAAGTGAGTCTATGAATTAATGATTGAATATATTTTAGTTAGTGGGTTTGCTGGAATTAAGGTAAATTTGATGTTTTCTTTTTGGTGGTGTGAGTGGAAATATAGGTGGTCATGGAAGGCTATAAAGGCATTTACTATGGCTGAATTGGAAGCTAGGAAACTCAAGTTTGCAACTACTGGCACTGAGGCTCTTCTTTTGGGTATCTTGATTGAAGGTGCCTTTTTTTTTTTTTTAAATTATGTTCCTATTCATTTGCATCGTTAATTTTGAGCCCCTAGCCATTTGCTGTTTTGTTGTTATATTAATGTTCTTCTTTGAGTCACAGGGACTAGTGTAGCTGCGAAATACCTGTGGGCAAATGGAATCACTGTTTTCAAAGTACGTGAAGAAACTATCAAGGTGCTTGGCAAGGCTGACATGTACTATTTCCCTCCTGAGAGGCCTCCCTTGACTGATGATGCTCAAAAGGTCCTCGATTGGGCTTTTGATCATAAACTAAAATCTGGTAAGTCCTGATAATTTGCTCTGTGTTTGGTTGGTTTTTGTTCAATATGAAATATTATATCAATGAATATCTTTTCAATGCAATCCTTAGTTTTTGTAGGATGCCATGGAAACTCAGTTGCTAGTACAAAGAACATGCAAACAAAATTTCTCAGAAGGGTGCGCTTATTAGCCAAGCTAATGAATTTGTGAGAACTAGTCTCTGAAATTTGTGATCCACATGCTGTTATCACACTTGCATCATGTGTGGATTGACTGTTGCCTTTGCTCCTTGATTTAATGACATCCTTTAAAGTAGTGGTTTGTAAACTTCATGGTTAACAAAAGTAATTTATGGTTTCTTCCTTTTTAGGGCCCTAGTTTTGTAAATCTTTATATTTGAGATCTCCAATGCAACCTTCCTAACGCCACTGCCCAAGACTTCACCGAGACTCATGATGTTTGCAGCAGCTGCCAAAGATATTTTGTAGTATGTTTATGGTGCTGAAAGAAAAGTGATGTCATGCACAAATGTGTGAATTGTCATTGTTCCAATATTTTGCTGTTTGGTTGCCCCTTCTACAAGTTATGGATTTTTACCTTTGAGTCTGACTATCGTGTAATATGCTAAGAAACTAGAAAATCTATATGATTCTCTAATGGCAACAAATACATGGCTTTTGTTATTAGAATCCGCTCATCTAACACCCCTTTATATCTTTGTAGGTTTGGGATGTTATATGGATTTCTTCCCTGTTACATATAATCAATATACTATTTTACATTTATTCTTGAGTGCCGTTCTTCCTATATTGGAAGAACTGCACTGTTCTGAAAAATATTCACATTCTCCGAGTTCCTGGTTGAGCTCCATTATACCTACTTGGCTTTGTCTTTTTGCTTGTCCAAATTTTAGTTCTTGGCTGATGTAACAAAGCATGTTGTTGGTGTGTGTTTTATTTCCTGCTTTTTCTTGAATCAAACTTTGCTGGGAACTATTATCCAAAATAGAGGGAGACAAATAGCTGATGCACCATGCAGAAAGCTTTTAATTTTTTTTTCATCGATGTATCTTTCAATTTACAGGTGATAGTGGTGGGGAAGTTACAACAAGTGATCTGCTTCTAGGCATTTGGTCAGAAGTGGAATGCCCCGGCCACAAGATACTGGCTGTCCTTGGCTTTAATGATGAGAAAGCTAAAGAACTGGAGGCTTCAACTTCTGGACCTGGGTTTATAGATGGTTGATACCTTCAATGTTCATGATGTCCATCGATGCAATTTTTGTAACTGGACATGGCAGTTTGAGCCTTTTGACTGAAATTGAAAACCCTGTCATTTATGGATGCACAAAAGAGTCGTTTCAGTAACTAACAAAAGTTGGCATCTTATCCTTAGTGAGCTTTGTAAGTTGTATTTTGCACAGATATGTTCATTGAATGTTGGAAACAAGGAGTTCTTTTATATTGAATCTTGTGTATGTTCGACTTTCATCTTTGGCTTCAGAAACCTTTCTTACGACCCATTTCATGATTTGATGAAACTATCTGAAGACAGAATCGTAAATGGCTGGCCATATAAGAACTGAAGCTACCAGGAATTGAAATTTGGAGTGATTCATGAACAGTGAATTGATGAAATGATGCCTTTGAGTTACCAAAAGGCATGAAAATGGATAGGAATCCTGAATTTTGAAAGTCCCATTCGGGAGTTGTCTCAATTGAGTTTGGTTTCGCTGTAATTTTTCCTTAGAGAGTTGTGTCATGCCTTTTCGATTATACCAGGAAGTCCAGCATTTAGGGGGATGCTCGAAACGAGACAACGTTTTCTAGTCATTCTCGTACTTCAGCACCATCAGCTGTTTCCGTGGTTCGGTGATTCACGCGTTCTTCAACGTCCACTTCTTGCACGTCACAGGACGCCAGTTTTTGTGCCTTTTCAGCTTCTACTTCCCAATCAGTCCTCACAACAGATACTACCACCAACATCAAGCACGCGACCAATCCAATCAAGAAACCTACCAACAACGCAAACTAGGGCTTGGCCTAGCGGTGGAAGGGGCTTGTCTCCTTCCACTGCACCTGGGTTCAAGCCCTAGCGTGCACGCCTGTCACCCCCGCGGTGCCTTACATGCCTACTGGGTTTGCAGGATATTCAGTGGGCCGTGGGGATTAGTCGTGGTGCGCGCAAGCTGGCCCGGACACCCCACGTAAATCAAAAAAAAAAAAAAAAAAAAAAAAAAAAAAAAAAAACAGTCCTCACAACAGATACTACCACCAACATCAAGCACGCGACCAATCCAAAAAAGAAACCTACCAACAACCCACCGAGCCCTAGTGCTGCTTTGAAGGCTAAGAGTACTGCCATTGGTAAGGCTAGCAAGCAGAACCCACCAAGATTGGCATACATGCCCAACCATGGCCGAGCTGTTCCCCGGACGACGCCTCCACAAACTGCTAAAGGAAAATTTACTACTTCAATCAAAGCCATTAGCAACATCATCTTCTTTACACCTTTTATGATTCCTTGATCATGGCTAAACACAGACCCCCAAACACCTCTGACTCCTATCATCACCAAGGCACCTATGCAACCTGAAATGGTGCTTGCTCCCAGAGACACATATGCTGACTGGTGAGCACGACCTGCTTGATTTGCACCAAGCTCATTCGACACACGAGTGGAAGCACAAGTTGCTAGTGATAGCATCACAGAGAAAAGCAAGTAGTCAAAGTTTAGCACAATTGCTATCACCCCAACTGCTTGCTTGGCATTTGGTAGTCGTCCGGTAAGCAAGATCAAGATCTCCCAGCACCACCATTCAAGGCAGGTGGTAAGGCAACATGGTGCACAAAGTTTTAGCAACCGGAGCCAGTCATGAACGCCCTGGTCTAACCACCCTCCCTCCTTCCAATTCCCTCCCTTCCTGTTTTCCATCATCAACACGTATGAAACAAGTAAAATCACGACCATAAGATCGTTTATCCATATTGCCATAGACACCCCTTCAAGACCCTTGGCTTTTGCTAAGATGTTGATCGGGATGCGAAAAGCTAGGCCCAAAGCTGAGCTAAACATTATAGGAACTGTTACACTTTGTGAGCTCAAATAGACTTTAAGAGGACATAACAAACAGGTGATTATTAAGTCAGGGAAGAGATAGAAAAGGTAGTTCTTTGCAACACGCGAAACGACTTCTTGTTGGCCACAATCGATTAGAATTTTTTCCACGTTAAGCCACAAGAAAGATATAGGCAGGGTTGCTAATAGCAACAAGAATATTACCATGAGGAGGGTCTTGTGTAGCAGCATGAAATTCTTAGCCCCATGAGCTTGACCACAGAGAGGTTCCATGGCAGCGGATAGCCCATTCAAGTCAGAAAAGCCAGTGACGTTAGCAAAAGTGAACCCGAGAGTGCCGCTAACCAACTGGAGCTCTCCAAGCCTGCCAGCAAAAGTGATGGCTGTTTTGGAAAACCATGTCAAATTCATTGCCAACAAGGGCAGAGTTATACCTCCTTGTGTTTTTATTTCCTGAAGAATCATTTGCATAAGATTTGCCGGCCATATTCGGGTGGTAAGTGAAGATATTGGTGGAGGTTGAGAGGTTTTGCGAATAGGGCTCTCTTCAAATTTTGATGGTGGAGACATGATGGTTGGGCAAAATGGATTGGTGGGCTTATACCAAACATATAATTTTCTTGACGAGAGAGATATTTTTGTGCTCCTTAGATATAAGATGGATAAATATTTTCTTAGTGCGTGGTTTTCGTGAAGCTTCTGGTGTCTAAAGGAGGAACAAGATGAAGCTTCTTATAAAGACCAATCAAGGAAGAGAAATGGGTGGTGGATTCTTAGTAGTGTGTGATGAGAATGCAAAGCCAAATCATGCTTACAGTTACAGATATCCTTTCAGACATGTAAGATTATGTTTTCAATTTGGTGTTCATGAAAAAGCTAAAGACTAAGAGGATTGCTGATCGCGCTTGCACTGTGTAACTGCCAAATGAATTCCCTCCTAAGCTAGCTGACAAAAAAAATCTAGTAACTGGTCTGTATGTTGATTTTACTTGCCAATCATGCCTTAAAAACTTGGATATGTTCATTAAGCTTTTTAGTACTGTAATTAATCAACGCTAATTTTGACTCGAGACCTATTCCTCCTGCCTTGTATAAAATTATATCATCAGATTAAGGATGAATTTCGCTTAGCACTTCGGACACAATTCTTAATCAGCTGAAATTTTAACAACATACTTTACACGCAAGAATCAGGCACTTGAGATCGCGATGTAGTGGTTTTGATAAGGAATTTCTTGTCTCACCTGGATTTAATTTTTTCTGTTTATGATGTCTTATTTATCTGCTGAATTTACAAGATATTTAATAAATTTGAGGATTAGTTATAATACATATAAACTAGTTTAGATATCCCAAGTTTTTTTTAAAAATAAAATCATCTAGTTGGCAGTTGAGATTGCTTTTATATATAAATTTAACCCATAAGATGTTAATGGATATTTTTCTAGTTACTTTAAGATTTTTTTCTTTTTAAAATTTTATTTGGTTTAGGTTAGTTCTTATTTGAACAATATTATGTTATTTTCTCAGTAGAGATTCCATATTATTTAGAATTTACAAAACAAATTTTCTCTACAATTTGAGTTGTAACATAGGGCTTGAAAAACGCTGGTTTTCCATCTTTTGCTATATGTCACAAAATATCATCGTGTATGATGTGTTTTGGCCCTAGTTAGGGAGAAATTCTCGCAGAAAAAATAATTCCTCCATGTCCCTACTTCTTAACAAAGAAACTAAAAAAGTTTGGGCCTTTATTATGCAATCCACATTTTTCCAATCACAATTTACTATTCATGACACTGTTTAACAAGGAAGTTTTAGTTCTAGATCCCTCGAGTTTTGATCCATTTTGTTTTGGTCGTCCAACTTTATTTCCTATCAATTCAGTCCTTACAAGTTTTTTTTTTCATTTTTTTTTCTTTTCATCTTGCATGTTATCATGTATCCGCAATATTGGAATGTGTTTCGAGGTTAAATAATAAGTTGATTTTATATGAGAAAAATTATAGTTGTAAAAATTAAAACTGAAAGAGTTTTAACCAAAATTTATATTGGTAAAGATTTAACAACTTTTTTCTCATGTGAATTGTTTAAAAGGTATACAAATTTATATTTTAGTTCTTCAATTTATAAATATTTAAAATTTCATCCCTTGAAGTCCTTAAAACTTATAAGAGTAGTGAGAACATACATAGAAAGTTCATTAAAAGAAAGCTTTTAGTTGGCTGAATTATGATCATCAATAACTTTTATTTTGTGTCATTGGATTTAACTTTACGAGAGAAACTCAATAGAGTATAGGTTTTCATATGTAATGATGTAAAAAAATTAGAGCTTAGAAAGTTATTTTCTTAATCTTATTTGATTTTAAGTTCGATTAAAATAGTTTTGTTGTTAGAAATAATGATACAGAGGTCAATGACTTTTTTTTAAAGTTTCTAGTAAAAAGAGAGGTTGAAATTTGAGTATTTGGGTTCAAAATTTTGAATTCTAATTTCCTTGTAACTATCTTTTATCACTAGAAAAGATTGCAAACAAAAGATGCATTATTTGCCGTAGTAAGCAATGTATCACTTATTTTGATTTTTTATTTATTTTAAGCATACAAGTGTTGTTCACCCTTTAAAAAAAAAAAGTGTGCAAGGATTTGGGCCAAGCATGAAGACCTATTCTTCTAGTTAGCATTGAGCAAAAAATTCAAAAAACCAATTAAATCAGAAAAAAATAATAAAAAAATTGAATTATAAAAATAATAATTAAACTGATTAGAATTTTAAAAAACCCAGCTAGTTCGATTTTGATTTTATAAGTCTAAAGCTAAAAAATCAAACCAAACCGAATTCAAACAAAAAAATCAAACCAAATAAAAAAACAAAGCTAGAATGATTTGAATCGGTTTTTGTTTTTAAAAAATAGAACTAAATTCGATTGTTTGAATTAATTTTGGTTTGGTTTTGTTTTTTTTTTTTAAAAAATTTAGTTTGATTATTTTTTTGATAAAAACCGAATCGAACAAAAAAAGATCATCCCTATTTTTAGCCCATGCATGTCTGACCCTTCAATTCTTTTTATCTCATTATTTTTTTCTTTTAGTATTTTATAATTACATCAAACAATAACTAAATTTATTTTAATGATGTTTAAATAATTATCCAATTAGTTTTAAATAATATTAACAATAATATTTTGAATAAATATATATCAACCTAACATGCATGAATTTCTAAATGCATATGAAAAGCATATTTTTTTTAAAATTTTATTTTTAGAAAGTTGTTTATTATTATTATTATATTTTTTAAATATATTCACACCAAAGTCATTGATTTTATTGTTTTCTTATTAAAACTTGCTTTTAAGATTATGATTGGTTTTTGTTTAAAAAACTATCTTTATGATTAATTTTTTTTAAAAAAGAGCACATTATTAAAGGAAACAGGTTTTGACTAAAATATAATTTTTTTACTAAAATTTATTTTTGTATCCTTATTTTAAATTATTAAGTTTTTATAATGATTTTAATTACTTGCAGTTTTTATATAATAAACGACATAGATAAAAAAAAGTTAAAAAGTACATTTATAACAAAAAGACGGTTTACACTAATAACTACATTTCTTTTTACAGAGTTTAAACTATTTATTTTTTCTTAAAAAATCCATTTTTATTGCTATATATTTCAATAAAAAAATAAAACAAATCCTCCATCATAAAATCAAATATCTTTATCTTTTAGCTCTTTACTTTAGTTTTTGGTTAGTGTTAACATTTTTTTTTAATTTATTGATTCATATGATTTTCAATTTATTTTATTGAAGATACACATTGACTTTTTAATTTTGAATTAAATTTTTTTATGATATTAAAAAAAAGATTCAAAATGTATACACATTCTTCTTTTGTATTAAAATCAATTAAAATTTTAGTTAATTTGTGCTAAAAAAAGGGTAAATATCTTCGTCGACGAAGCTTCAAAATCCGAATGGGTAAGTTAAAAAAAGAGAGTGAATTTAATTAAAAGGTCTGAGAAATAATGCTGTGGTCCTCGGTGGCATTTCGGGTTGAGGTGGCTAAATGGGTTGCAAGGGTTTGAACTACGAGGAATCGAAAGAAGTTTTCTGGGCAGCCATATGTAGGGCATTTCTTTCGATTACTTAAAAGGCACTAACAATTTCGTGTTTTATATTTAATCCTTCTCTTTTATCAAGAGCATCCAGCTCTTGTCTGTTTTCAGATATAAAATAAGTCCCGCATGCTGTTGCTAACCGATGAAATTTTAAAAAATCGAAGTAGATTAGTAGTGAAGTTTATATTTTGAATAATTGATTAAGTTTTTGGAATATTTATAAAAAGGTTTTTTAAAAAAATTTAAAAACTTTTTAATAATTAAGTCCATAATTTCTTGATAAAAAATATGATAATATTACAGGCAAATACTTTAGAAATACATATACAGTATATAATGATATCAAAATAGTTTAATGGTAAAACTGATACAAAAATAGTTTGGATGCAAAATTGATAATTTCCCAATGATTTCGTGGTATATTTGATGTTTGCTCAACGTATAAGAACCTTTGATTTCAAACGTATATCAAAACACCATATAAAAATGTTTTTTTTCTTCTTATTCACATAATTTATAGATTAGGGATTTTATTTTTTATAGTCTATTCAATAAATAATAAAAACAAAACTACAATATTGCTTGACAAAAATGGCTTCTATGTTTTTTTTTCATAATATTATCTAGCTATTAAAAATAAAATACTTTAAATATTTTATACTATGAATGTTATATTTTTAAATATCTTGAATATAATTCATAATGCATAAATAATTAATATAGCGATTCTCAGCAAAACTTGATAATGCATAATATGTAATGTAATGCATATGTATAAAAATTAGTGTGCGAATGTCACACTATTTTTTACCATCCATTAGGGGTGTTCATAGTCTGGTTTTAACCAAAAAATTTAACCGAATCGAAAAATAATATTTTTTATTAATATAACTCAGACCGAACCGAGAATCAGTTTTGTTCGATTTGGGTCAGTTTTTTAGCATTAAAAACTAGAAAACTGAACCGTGGTATTTGGATAAGCTAATCTTCATCACTGAGCTAAATCAAATAAAAAATTAACATCAAATATTAATCTGAGCTATTAATTACAACAACCACTTATAAATTCAAGAAAAGCAATCAGCAGGCATAAAAGAACCTTCAAGGTATAAGAACAGTCAAAAAAGCAACTAGCTACTTGGGTTTAGTATTGGTTTTCGCTTGTTGGACTTAATTGTCTGGCATAGACCATTATTCACTCACTTTCTAGATCCTCCTCTTTGTTTATTCTTATCATACAACCCAGACTTTCTACATAAGCTAGGGGGGTTGGGAAGGGGTGGGGTAGCTGGGAAGGGAAAAAGAGGAAGGGGAGGGGGAAGGGAAGACCGGAAAGGGAGAGAAAGAGTGACGACTGAAAAGGGGAAAAGTGATTTAAGGTTAGTGATGGTTCTTTTTATGTTTTTTTTAAACCGATTCAGTTTGGTCTGGTTCAATCGATTTAAATTTTTTTAAAGGGAAATCAAACCAGATTGGGTGGTTTTTTTATTTTTTAATTGGTTTATTCAGTTTTTTCTATCGGTTTGGTCTTTTTGATTAATTTTTTCTTGATTTTTTTGGTTTAATTGGTTGGTTGGTTTTTTAAAACACCCTTACCATCCAGAACCTTATTTATGTAGTTAAAGAAACACAAATGCAAAAAGTAAAGAAAAGTTTGAATGGATAGTAT